GTTTTTACTTCAGCCTAAGTTATAAGTCTCATAATACATTAGTTTTACTTTAAAATATCAATTATCTTTGAAAGAGACTTAAGAGAAGTATTTGTAGTTACACCCATATTTACCATTCCAGTGTTCTTCATCCCTTATGTAGATCCAGATTTCCATTTCATATGTGGTTTCCTTCTGTCTGAAGAATTCTCTCCCTTTTTTAAAAAACATTTCTTGTGTGGGGGTTTATTGTGATAATTTTTTTCAGTTTTTAATTTCTAAAATAAATCTTGACATCACTTTTGTTTTTGAAAGATAATTCTGCCTAATGTAGAATTTTAGGTTGACAATTTTTTTCTTTTAGTACTTAAAAAATGTTGCTCCACTGTTTTCTTTCTTTCTTTCTTTCTTTCTTTCTTTCTTTCTTTCTTTCTTTCTTTCCTTCCTTCCTTCCTTCCTTCCTTCCTTCCTTCCTTCCTTCCTTCCTTCCTTCCTTCCTTCCTTCTTTCTTTCTTTTTTTCTTTCTTTCTTTCTTTCTTTTTTTCTTTCTTTTCTTTTCTTCTTTCTTTTTTGTATCCCAGAAATTTATTTAATGTTTACTTGATACATTTATATAAAAAGGTTGGGATTATTTGCCCTGGGTACCCCAGTAAATTAATGGAGATCTAAACCACAAAGAGGTATCAACCTGGAGACATCAGAAATGGAAAGCCCAGTTTTATGACTATTCTTAGCTTAAAGATTTGTTTCTAGAGAAACTAGTCTACTCCCTTAAAAAATGCTCAATGTGTTGGAGCCCCTGTGTGCTAAAAGCTGACATTTTAGGAGAACATTTCATGTTTTGGTCTGTTACAATATTTATATAGTTGGAAATAAAAATATTCAGGTTTGAAGTGTTCAGTACTGGAAGACTTTTAAGTCCAGGGTGTATGTATAGCCAGGAAGGGTTGTTTTGTGCTCCTTAAACTATGCTCTGTTTTCCACAAGTTAATCTTCAACTTTCACTTCCACTTCTGCATTATCATCTCCATCCACTTCTACATTTCCTCTCTCAAGCCTCTTCAGCTGCCTTGCAAGTTCAGTTTCATCTGTATCTGTGACCACTTTGGGCTCCATTTGAACAGTTAAGACACCTCTTTTCTCCATTCTTCAGTCTTCTAATGGCAGCCATAGCTTGATTGAGAACAGAGAGGCCTTCTGTCCTCTCCAGGGTTGTTGTAGTCATCACATGCTCTAAGAAGAGCTATTAGATTAATCTTGATGGTCATGGTTTCTATGGAACAATTCAAACCTGCTCTGAGTGCTTCTTTCATGGCATTGATGCCATTCATAACCATAACGAGCCACTTCAATATCTCCTTGAACTTTGACAATATATGGGGTCAAACACCGCTCAGTATTATTAATGAGTACATCCTGTTCATCTTCAGTCAAATCTAAACTATCCAAAATAGATGGGTCTGAGACTGCATGCTTAGATGCATCATAGGCACCATATCTGGTTTTCTTATACTTGTCATCAGAGACCAAGCAGTCCTCTGGAACAGGCTTTCCAGTTGCTTATTCTTGATGTACTCTAATACTTCAGCAACGTGACAAAGAATGCTGCAGACAGTTTGGATTTGGTGAATTTACCTTTACATTTGACAACTTCTTCTGGAGAAACTCCTCTTTTTGACAAATCAACGTATACTTTTTCTTTGTTCACTCTAATGCCAGCCACACGTTCATTGCTGCCAATTTGGATGACTTTTTTAATAGAATGAATACACTTTCTAGACAGCCCACTAAGAAGAATGCCTTCAATATTGTATTCCAGAAGGCTGACATAAACCCCCATTTACATTTACAGTCCCTACATCTTGTACCTCAGGAAATTTGTGTTGATAAAATCTGCAACTTAAACCTGGTATTCTGTGGTATATTTGTGAATTCCACAGTGGGGTCCTGGGCTTTGCTCTTTAATTGAGGAGATCAGACTTGATCCACCTACAGCAGCCACCAAGTCTTGCTCCACTGTTTTCTGTTTGTATTATTTCTGATGTAGTCTTCCTCTTATTAATTTCTCTGTAGCTAATGGGACTTTTCTTTCTGACTGCTTTTAAGATTTTTTCTTTATCACTGGTTTAAGGCAATTTATGATGTGCCTGGGTTTAGTTTTCTTCATATATCTTTTGCTCAGCATTTTGCATGTGTATGTAGAATTATAAGTTTCATCAGATTTGGAAATCCCGGCTGTTATTTTCTTAAAATATTTTTGTTGACACCCACACCTTCCTTCAGAGATTCCAGTCACATATGAATTAGATCACTTGAAGTTGTCCCGTAGCTCACAGATATTATTTTCTTTTTTTTTAATAGATACCAGTTTTTTTCAGTTTCATGTCAGATAGCTTCTATATTTAAATCTTCAAGTACATTAATTTTTCTCTTCTAAAATGTCTAATCTTATTATCCCATCTACTGTATTTTTAATTTTAGACACAATATTTTTATCTCTGGAAGTTTGATATGAATCTTTTTTATTTCTTCCATATATTTCTTTATCATGTTTGCTCTTTCCTTTACCTTCTTGAACATATAGAATATAGCTAATAATAACTTTTAAAATCCTTTTCTACTAATTCTAATATCTATGTCTTTTTTTAAAAATCCTCACCTGAGGATTTGTTTATTGATTTTACAGAAAGGAAGGGTGAGAGAGAGAGAGGAAGAGAGAGAGAAAGAGAGAAACATAGACTGGCTGCTTCCCATACATGACCTGACTGGGGACCGAACCCACAGCCTAGGTATGTACCCTGACTGGGAATCAAACCTGCAACCTTTTGGTGTATGGGATGATGCTCCAACCAGCTGAGCCCCCTGGTCAGGCCCTAATAGCCATGTCCTTTTAGGTTTGTTTCTAATGATTGGTATTTCTCCTTTTTAAGGTTTATGTTTTTATGCCTTTTTGTCTGCTTAGTAATTTTTTATTGGATACCAGCAATTATGAATTTTACTTTTATGGTTCCTAGATATTTTCATATATTCCTTTTACTATTCTTGAGCTGTGTTTTGGCATACAATATAGTTACTTGAAAACCATGTGATTCTTTCAAGGCTTTTATCGGTGGTATTTTTTTTTAGACAAAGCCAGAATAGTCTTTAATCTGTTACCGATTTTTCTTATTATTGAGGCAGTGCTCTTTTGAGTACTCTTCCTGATGTCCACCCCATATATTGCAAGGTTTTTGCGCTCTGGCTGGTGGAAATCAGAACTCTTCCTGGATCTGTGTTAGCTCTTGGAATGGTTTGGCTTCTTCCTCTGGGTTTTTTCCCTGGCTTTTGGTAGTTTCTTCACATGAATATACTGATCTGTACTCCACAGAAGACTTGATAGTAACCCTCCACAGATCTCTGTAGCTCTCTCTTTTCAGCTCTTCTATTTAACTCTTACCTCTGGTATTCTGTCAATCTAGTTTTAACTGTCTTGGGTTTCTTGAATTTTCAATTCAACCAGGGAGACTATTAAGCTCTATTTCTGTTTGTCCTGCCTTCATTGTAGCCTGGGAACTCTCTCCAGACATAAAGCAGAGGCAATGGTGAGGTTTCCCATTTGTTTTCTTTCTCTCAGAATTACTGTCTGTTGTTCAGTGTCTGAAAACTATTATTTCACTTATGTTGCTTGATTCTGTAGTTGTTTAAGACAAATTAGCCTCTGCTCCTTCATCATGGCTGGAAGAGTTACATATAGCATTTAGTTACATATAGTGATTCAGATAGTGTTTATAAATATATGTGTACTAAATAATATTTAGGGTATTATTTCTGTTTTCCTATATTAAATGAATCCTATCTTCTGAATAATGCTGTTTCAGATGGCTGTTACTGTGTGGAAAGCATAGAAGTGCTGGTTATTAACTAGTATTTCTGGTTAATTTTAATAAGTCATAAGAAAGTTGAGTCTCTTTTAACTGTTGTTAAATATAGCTGACTCATTAAAATGGATTTTGTCATACTATTTTTCTTCAGTCAGCAAACATTAGCAAGTTTCTTCATTCATTTACACAAATATTTGACCAAAGCATTTTTATATAGGAAGAGATTAAATATATTTATTTATTTATTATTTTTCTAAATTTTAAACAAAGGCCTATTTTATACAATCACTGCAGTTGTACTGGGATAGTTTTTTTTTTGACAAACTTATAAAAAATCTTAAGCTTCTTTGGTGTTCTTTTGAAATGCCAAACTTGACAGGAAGTGAACACAAAAGGAAGAAAAGCCTTTGGCTTTGAAAAAGCTCCAAAGGATATCCGTTTTATATTTGTGTGTTGGATAATTAACCTCTGGTGCACTTTGCACAAAGGTTTTGGTACTTACCATTAGAAATTGTTTTAAAAGAATGCTGCATTTTATTAAGAGCTGTGTCTCAGGAGGGTGAGTGAATTGTAAGGTAATAATGAAGCCATGTTGAATGCTTTTTTAAAAAATACAGGTTAGTGCAATGAAGTAATATGATGCTGGTTATATTATAAATAAATATTGTAAAATATTACATATAAAATATAAATATTTAAATATTAAATGTAAAAATTATATTTCTACTACCATGCTTCTATAGTGAGAAATATTTTATGTTGGGTTGTTAAAAGCTCCTCAAGAGCTATGTAAAACAGTCATATATTTATTTTTTACCAGTAAAAGGAAACATTTTATTTTATTTTTTAAAATTCTGATTCTTTGTGAAAATATAGCTAAGGCTTTAACCTCTTTCACTCTGACCAGTGTATTCCTAATTTCTTGCCCATAAGTCCCATAGCTAACTAGTAATTTCTTAAGTAGTGTAGGAGACTTGATTTCACCATTCAGATTTGAAATTATTTTGTTGTAAACACAACTTTGCTTCCCAACATCTATATTTTTACATTACTTTTTAAGTCATCCAGGATTGAATACTGAGGATTTTGTCCATCTTTTTCTGTATAGTTAGGTACAGAATTTTGTAATTTAAAAATAAAACTTTATCTTGTCTCTTAGGTTTATTTTATTATTATTTTAAAAATCTATTTCACCCTGTGGGCTTCTCGTAGTGTACCCATGCCAGAGTAAACTGCAGCCCTGAACCATTGCCCAGCCTCCTTATCTGTGGGCTGTGAGCACTGAAGGGGGTTGTACAGTGTGAAAAAAAAATCTATTTAATTTGTATTTCCCTGGATAAGATCATAACCTTCTTATTTGTCTTATTATTGTAAGCTCCTAGAGTATCTCCTAGGTTTGACACTTTTCTCTGCTTTATAACTTTATAGTTTGGTACCAAGTTAATCTTCCTAAATGCTTGTTCATGCTATATATCTGTTCAAGAACTTATAATGGCTCCCAATTGCAATTCAGAAAAATTTTGCCTCTCTGGTGTGATTATCTGTCCCTGCCTTACCTTTCCAGTCTTACTTCCCCAAACACTTACTATAGCTAGAGAATTCTTTCATCTGTGGAACAAATCACCTTTACCAGTGAGAGACAGTGTGACCTAATGTAGTATATGGAATCGGAAAACCTGGCTTGAGGTGCTAGCTTTTTTATGTAAAAGTTAATGTTTTTGTCTCAATTTCTTGCTTTGTAAATTGAGATAGACCAAAAGATTTGAGCCTTTTTAGCTCAAGTATTTTATATTTTTACAAAACTATTTCAGTGTTAAAAATTATTTGCTATTACTGAATGTGAATCCATATTTCTTTGGATTGCTTCTTGGATATACCTGATATTCTCTGTACATCAGATATTTTGAAGGAATTGTACTTGCCCCATGTGAGGTACATAATGATGTGGGAAATAGCCTCTAGCCTCAAAGAAGCTTGGAATCTAGTAGAAAAGTAAATCACTATGTTACACTATAAAATAAGCTGTGAAGGTCAGTGGAGGGAATGATCATATATGGATGGGAAAAGACTTGCACAAGTGTGGAAATGTAGAAAGATACAGAATTAGTAAAGCCTAGAATGAGGTATATGAGGGGGAATTACGGCCCAGCATTTGGCAATGGTACATGGACACTAATTTAAGACTAATTTAGTTTTAAAAGATATAGAGTTTTTAACTTTGTTAAAATGGAAAACTAGCTTTATTGGTAAATGAGATATTTTACAAAAGTTAATTTAGCAGATTATTCTATGCACTAAGTTTTTTAAGTTGGGGTTTTTTAGGGAAATGTTCTTGAATGCATACTTCATCTTCTTCTACAGAAGATATTTAATTTTACTTTTTGTAAAGTTAGGGATAGCATTGTAAACATTACTATATTACTTGTGAGCTGGACTCCCATTTGCCTCTGGAGTATATTGTCCTCTATTTCTACTCTTTTCATTTTTTTCTGCCTTTCCTTTCTCTTTCCCTGTGAGTTATTATTTTTCAGCATTCAGATTTTACCAGTCTACAACACCTGATTTAAATTGCCCTCCTAATCTGACTAAATCAGTAGTGCACTATTATTGTATATGCCCTTTGTCCTTCTGGGGTTTTGGAGCAACTAGCTTGACAAAGTTTTTCTCCAGGCTGAGGTTTTTTTTTTAAAGCAGTGCTTTTCAAACTTTAATTTTTGTAGGAGTCACCTAGAGATCTTGTTAAAATATAGATTTTTATCAAGTAGGTCTAGGGTGGGACTCGAGGCTCAGCATTTCTACAAGCTCTCAGATGATTCTGATGGTGCTAGCCTGTGGACCACTCTTCAGAATGGCCAGTTTCTGGATGACTAAAGCCCTGACATTATAATAGGGCTTTCATGTGGAATACTCTGTTGGTTCTTTACACTTAACTCCTCAGAATAGAAGGTATAGGAATGATTCCAGTTTTGCATGTTAGGAAAAAGAAACATAGAATATCTGTAAAGTGTTCCTTTCATTTTTACCACATTATTTCTCTTAAATCATTCACGTCGTTTGTTTTATTACCACTATAACATCTAGTAAAGCATGTGGGACAGTATAAAAGGCAATAATATATGTAAGTAGTAAGTTGATTTTATTCTAAGAGAGTAATAATATATGTATTGTTTTATCTTGAGCAGCAAGGTAAGTGTTTTGCCTAAGAGCTAATTAGAGATAGGAAGGACAAAAAGTACTATGTGTTAACCAGCTCCTTTTTGCTGTGCACTAACACTATTGGCATAATGTATTCCTCAAGAAGAAAAGATTAAAAGAAGACTGCAAACCAGAGCAAATCATATTTTAAAGAGAAGTACTTTTATGCACATATATTTCAATCATGCAACTCTCAGAAATGAGAATTTAACATAAGTGATTTTAGAATACGTAATAATTTGGGATTGATAAAATTAGGTATTCGGATCATTTTTCAAGGAAATTGAAGGGACGGATGAGAATGAGATGAAATGGAAAGCTAGGTATGTTTCCATAGACTGAAATGTTAGAACTGACTTTTCTCGCAGTTTTTAATGAAAGATTCCATGTATCCATAAGGTCTTCTATAAGAATAAAAAAATGTAAAGCCCAAGAAGTGAAAATAAAGGGAGGAAATATCTTAGAAATAAAATTTTTGGTAGTGACCTTGTTGTGGTCTACTAGTGAAGTAATTTAGAATTTAAAATATGTACAAACAATTAAAATAAGGGTGGCAACTTAGTTCACAGAAACAATTATCCACTGAAATGTGAATAGATGATTACTTTTAAAAGATCTAAGACTATAAGTTCAATTTTAAAAATAACTATCTTCAAAATTGTTAAGGATCGATGAAGCATTAGTGAGGTTTTTTGTGGTTCCTCAAATGTTAAAAAATACAGAAAACTCAAAGAAACTGAGATAGCTGGTATAATTAATGCAAGTCTTATTAAATAGTTAAGTGAGGTTGAGTTCTTGATCCAGATCTGTTTATGGTTTTAAACATAAAATATTTTTCATGCCTAAACTTTTACTCCAATGCCTTTTGTCTGAAGTCCATGTTTGATCCCTCAGTCTGTTCTTCACTCTAGGCACTTACCTCCTTTTTGAACACTCTGATACATGAGTAATTGCTAGAGTCACTGTAGAAAAGTATTCATGACTTGTTCATTCATGTCTCCCTTCCTCTTCCTGCATTGCCCATACCGTGCCTTTTCCTTGTTCTTGAATTGGCACAGGACCTAAAGAAATCAGGGATGGAAAAAAATGCCTAACTCAGAAATCTCTTAGGTAGCTCACTAGTGATAGCTTTTACAAGTACTGCTTCACTGGTATACTTCTTTAGAATCTTTCCTAGTCATCATGTAGACCTGCATCAAAATGGGTCTTGATTATGTGTATGATATTTTTGTGTAGAAATCATAACAGGCAGTATTTGTACATTGTGCTGTTATAGGCACTGTTAAAAGTGTTGAAATGTGTTAATTCATCTATTTCACACAACCCTGTGAAATATGTGCTCTTGTTGCCACCATTTCACAGATGAAGAAATTCAGGCAACAAGAAATCGAGAAAGTTTCCCTTGTTCTCAAAGCTAAGATAATGACGGAGCCAGATTTTAACTCAGGCTCTCTTGTTCCAGAGACTGCCCTTAACCTCTGTGTGGTTCTCAGGGTGTTTATTAGTTTACTGTTGGGTATATGCACCATCGTGATTAATTTCTTTATTCATGTTTTCTCTGTGTATGTGTTCTTTTCTTTGTGTCACTATGCTGTAGCAGAAGGAGCCTGAGTTTTGGAGTCACCAGGCCTTATTTGTTCTTCACAAAACATTGCTATCTCTGTTTTACAAATAAGCAAAGCTGAAGTTCAGAGGTGTCATATAACTTGTTATGGTGTGATTCTGAGCAAGTTATGTCTCTGTATCTCGGGTGTTTTTGTCTGCAAAATAGGGATAATAATGCTTTATAGAATTGTTGTGATGAATAAATGAACATTTATGAGAATGTACATTTTAGAAACATCACAATTGTTAGTTTCCTTCACTTCATCCCTTTTCCTCTACTATGCAGAGTTTTCTTAAGAAAAGAGAACCAAGAATACAGTTAAATGGTATTAGATCTATTTCTTCTTTTCCTGAGATGCCCCTCCCCCCATTCTTAAACAACCCAAGTAAAAAATGGGCAAAGGACCTGAATAGACACTTACCCAAAGAGGACATATGGGTGGCCAAAAGAAATATGAAAAGATGCTCAAAGTCACTAACTATCAAAAAAATGGGAATTAAAACAATGAGATACTGTCTCATACCTATCAGAATGACTATTGTCAATAAATCAACAAACAACAAGTGCTGGCAGGGATGTGGAGAAAGGGGAACTCTTTTTCCCTGCTAGTGGGAATCCACATTGGTGCAGCCACTGTGGGAAGCAGTATGGAGATACCTCAAAAATTAAAAATGGATCTGCCTTTTGACCCAGCAACCTTACTTTGGGAGTATATCCAAAGGAACCCAAAGCACCAATTCAGAAGAACCAAAGCACCCCTATATTCACTGCAGCATTATTTATAATTGCCGAGATATGGAAGCAGCCCAAGTGTCCATCAGTAGATGAGTGGGTAAAGCAACTATGGGACATTTACATAATGGAATACTACTTGGCTGTAAACAAGAAAATTTTATCCTTTGCAACAGTATGGATGGACCTGGAGAACATTATGCTAAGTGAAATAAGCCAATCAGAGAAAGACACATACCACATGATTTCACTCATATGTGGAATGTAATGAACAAACTGAACTAACATGCAGAACAGAGACTCATAGATAGAGAGCAGATGATAGCTGTGGGCAGCAGGGGAGGTTGGGGCTGGAGAGACTGAGCAAAAAGGAGTACTCATGGATAAAGATAATAGTGTGGTGATTGCTGCAGGGAGAGAGGTATAATGGGACTAAATGCTATTGGAAAAAATAAAGATTAAATCCGAAAAAATGGAAAAAATTCAGGGAATAAAGGTGTCACTGAGCTGTAGCATTGTTAAATCTGGGCAGTATTCTCTGTTCCACTATAGTTGGAATTCGTTATATTGCTTTAGGTGTGAGTTATGTCACTAATTACTGTAGGTCAGTGTTAGTTCATTATTTAAGTAGAAACAAAAAGGAAGATAATAACTGTAGAAGCATAGCTCAAAAATATCCTCTGTACTGAACATGCAGGAATGGAAGCACTTGTATTCTGGTTCAGAACATGTTCTATAAAGTCATGGTTTTAGAAAATTACTTGAATA